GTCCGAATTCAATAAGCAAACAGAGAGTAAGCACAATCAATTAAGAGTAAGAAATACACCATGAAGATCAAAGGAAGATAAACAAGATTCTCGAAGACAACCCCAGATTAAGCAGGGACGATGTCACGAACATCTATTATGATTCACTAGCATATGAGACGGCAAGACCGGTAATGCAGTTTCAAAGAGGTAATTTCTTGGTGGACGAGGAGGAGTATAAAATTTTGACAACATATATGCGTGACTTGCATGATTATTACATGGCCCAAGCACTTGAGACGGACCCAGTGGGTTTTGAATATATTATCCGCTCGCCGCATGTTTTTCATTATCCTAATGAAGAGAAGCACTTTGTCGGTTGGGATCACTTGTTTCAGCTATTCCAGAGATGCGATCTTGATGCACAAATGTTGACACTATGGACTATGTAAGTACCCTACTCACATGATATTATAATTAACTACTCTCTCGATACACAAATAGTTAACGACTGCATATTCCCCATGAATTATGCAGGTGTGTAGCAAAACATTGCTTCAAAACAAAGTACGCTCACATGTCTTTCCTAGACCCCAAGCTAGTCAACCAGAGAACATGCAGAGGCATGCATGGAAATAAAGTGGAAGATCTGATGGAGACACCGACTGCCATTTTTGAAAATTTCAAGATGAGCAATAAAACCGAAATACTTCTAGCCTACAACTACGAGTACATGTTCTCTGCTCTTATTTTTATGCTTGTTTTTTGTAGTTACGATTATTCATTAACTAGGGTTTTGTGACTGCAGCAACTATTTCGTCTTCATTGTTGTCGATATTAAAAGAAATCGTATCAAGGTGTGAGACTTGAAGAAAAAGCTACTTTCTTTGCTCGTTCCCCTAGTCGAAGTGCATAATGCGTAAGCAAATCTAATAACATATTATTTTTTAATCACACATAGCATATTCTAATGTTGCCCTTTTTCACACTTTATAATGTGGCATAGTGTCCAGGCAAGAATGGTCAGTAGGACGAAGGTCCCATTCCATGTTGCACCAATGCAATTGGAGACCCTAGACCAGCCGGCGAGAAACAATGAATGCGGGTTTTACGTAATGTGGGCAATGCTTCGCTACCTAGGCGTAAAATCGTAGGCGGCAGATGCTTTGGTGTGTATAATCCCCAATTCATTTATATCTGTTAATTCAACAAAATGATCTACTTATTTCTCTAACATTTCTGTCTTTCGAAACCGGTTTTTCTGAATAACAGCGCAAGAAATTTTAACACAACAGGCTGTTAGAAATGGAGGTCATAGAACTGTCATCGGAGCTATAGCCTTCATCATATCGGAGTGCTTGGAAAAAAAAAGAACATTCTCCATTGCATAGTCCGTGAAGTACAAGGCGTAATATGGGCCAGAGCGGATCGCTAGACTATTGTAATTTCTTTTTTATTTCAAGGGATCGAGAGCTTCGTAAGTACATTTGAACCGTAACCATAACATTTGTAATATTTAATGTTGATGGATGTGTCGTCTACGTAGCAAATATAAAGCGAAACTCGATTCCACTAAAAAAATAAAAAATAAATTATATAAAACAATAAAATATGAAAAGGAGATCATTGTCGGTTTGCATGTCATGCCGGCAGTGATGTCTTGACCAACACTGCCAGTTCAAAGCTCAAGCCGGCAGTGCTAGCTTGAGCATCACTGCCGGCTCAAGCCAAAAGCCGACAGTGTTGGCTTGAGAATCACTATCGGCTTGAGCCACGAGCCGGCAGTGTTGGCTTGAGGATCACTGTTGGCTCGAGCCACAAGCCGGCAGTGTTGGCTTGAGCATCACTGTCGGCTCGAGCCACAAGCCGGCAGTGTTTGCTTGAGCATCACTGTCGGCTCGAGCCACAAGCCGGCAGTGTTTGCTTGAGCATCACTGTCGGCTCGAGCCACAAGCCGACAGTGTTGGCTCAACTAACACTTAGGAACCGACAGTATTGCCTGCACATCACTGGCGGTTCTGAGTACCGGCAGTGATGTGAACCCTCACATCACTGCCGGTATGTCACTGTCGGTTCAAAATCCGACAGTGAAGAAGGATTTTGAACCGATAGTGATGTCCTGATTTAGGGTAGTGTACCTATCGACGACGAGCATCAACTCCGGCTTCTTAGTCTTACTAGGCTTCTTGATCAACAGCGACCAAGGCGTAGGCGTATGGGGTTCCACTTCCCATGGAGGCGGCACGCACCTGCACGTTCTCCCCGCGCGTCCAGATTGGCTGGTGTCCTCCTTTTGATTTTGAGGTGCCGGTGTATACCGTATACTCCGACGTGCCAGTAGTCTTGCATGCATTTGATGACATGCTTACATGCATGTATATGGCTACCAAGAGCAACTCATAAAGAGACTCTCTGCATCCTTACTAATTTAGCCTGCTACTGCTAGTCGCCAAACATACTCTGAAATAAACATCAAGCTGTGATAACAATTTGTCCAAATGTCTCCGAATGATTAACTAGAAAAACCTTCTCTGCGCCGGAACACACAATCACTGCCGCTTGCACTGCAACCGGCAGAGATTACTTATCATTGTCGGTTCGTAAGCCTAGGATTCAGAAAATTCAGGAGAAGCTATTCACCCGACAATGATTGTGATTGTGTGATGATGGCGATGAGAATAATAATTATTATCGGGTGTGGTATTGAGCCAACTGTGGCACTCAACAATTCACTGCCAGGTGTGTACTGATCTAACAGTGGTGTCAGTACCGGTTCATGATCCAAACTCTTCCGGTTCATGCTTCAATCCCATAGTAATAATAATCATAAGATTACTGCTTTGACTACAGCGTCTGCCTCATTTCTGTGGTATCCACTTTTGACGTGTAGGGTTGATGCTTTGCCTCCTCGAGGCACTCCAGTCGGGACGGTCGGGTGGAAGTTTTACTGCCACACGGGTTAGTATTTAATAAGGTTGGGGACGGAGGTACCCCCCCCCACCCCCTTCGCTTTCAGTAAGGATCTCATTTCCTTGCCGCTTAGGCCTTTGTCTTTTCCATAGCTGTTGTGGCTTTCTTCTGTGGCACGGGTCCATGATCGAAGGTTAGCAAAGGGGCTTGAAACTTTCGAGCGTCCAATGATGGCTAGTGTGAAGGCTCATGAGCACATGGATGAGAATTTGAGCAATGTTGACGCCGGGGTCGAGGATCTTGTTGGTGGTGGGAAAATTGAGGCAGAGAAAACTTTTGATTTTGGGCCTACACTGACGACTAAGGGTGACTTGAAATGGTACGTTAGTACAGTTGGTTTGAAGAGGATAAGGTTTGGCTGCCGAAGGGTGAGTCGAGGCCAGAGCCCCAATTCAAAGAGGTGATGGTCTTTCGTGACCTTTTGGTGAGGTTCCTTCGGGAGATCCTGGAGACGTTCCAGGTGCAATTGCATCACCTAACACCTAATGGAATTGTCACTCTCTCTAAGTTTTGTTGGGCCCGTAATACCTTCGTAGAGAAGGTCAACATTGATTGTTTTTGCTCGCATTACGAGCTCCATAATCAGCCAACATTTAAGGATGAGAACGGGAATGACGCCTTTTGTTCTCCTCTTGCATCGAAGATTGGGAAACAAGTTATTACTCGTGATCCTTCCAAATGAGACGTGCAACGTGGGAGGCTTAATCACACACCGCTACCGCTACACAAATGATAGATCGATGTTAGTTTAAGACAGACAGCGACTTTTTTTAAACACGATTGTTAATAGGCATGGCATAAAGAAACAGACCACATATATAAATGTCCAGCTAGGCCTAAGGGCAGTCCCAATGGTGTATTGATGATGGTTTCTATCTTCGTTAAATGACTTGTCACGTAGGTAAAATGCTGACATGCTCCGGACAAAAATCATATAAATTGTTTCCTCACAAACCAGGTCTTCTCTTGACCCAATGCGAAATTCTAGAGGCGGTTGTTCCAGAATAATAAAACTACTAGTCCATTGGAACCCTCACAACCTTTACAAACCGGGAGGCGGTTGTTCCAGAAAACAAATCCATCCACCCTCAGGGGCGGTTGATTAATACAACCACTTATCTAATAATCATGTTTTTAAGAGATAGTTTATTTTGCCAACGCATCATGTAGAGATGCGTTGGTGATTTGTAGGACTCGGTTGGCTAGCTTCAACCACCTCTAAAAAATAGCTCCCACTACTCAAGCAAATTCATATTTATAATTATAGCTCTTTAATACTCCTAGATACTCCTAGAAAGACACACAGTGTAGACAAATTAAATAAACTTTATCTTAAAATTGAAGTGCTTGGCCAGATCTAGTTTTATTGTCGTTAGAGACTTTTTTTTTTAATTTGATATCTTTTAGCTGCTAGGTGCCCAAATATGCATTTGAAGATCTCAGATTTTTAAAATACGATTTTTTTAAGAGTATTAAAAGAAATAAAAAAAAGAGGGGGCCCACATGTTTTTCCATGGATGACAGTAGAAGCTTCTGCAGCTTCTTCAGTTTTTAGCTTGCCTCTAGTGGTCACCAAACATACTCCGAAGGAAATAAACATCTAGTTGTGGTAGCAATTTTTCCAAAGGAAACATCTAGTTTCCTCTTCGGCGCCAGACTAGGTGAACGCGCGAGAGGCAACCAACCCCAATCGATTCCGAGTTTGCTACCACCGACCTGATCAACCTCGGCACGGACCTAAGGAATCGCGCGCCCAGCACCCGAAAGTGAAGAACAGCGTGCTCCTGCCGTCGGGGATTACGATCGTGATCCAGATGGGGAGGAAACGAGGAAACGATTCAACGATCCGAATAAAGAGGGATCTGATACCAATTGTCAGGTTCCGGATCAGAACCAGACGGGTAGAGTAGAACTAGGAAGAATTTGGTAAGAAAAGAGCAAGAACTCAAGACTAACAGAGAAACCGGATTGGGATTCAGAGGTAAGGCCCTTTGCCCAAGGATACGACACGCAGGTCGCAACTAAACCCAACACAGCTATCGATAGACCCATCAGCCACTCAATGTCTTGGCGCCAGCTTCTCTTGCCAGTTCTTCAACAGTAACCTGACGCTCAGCAGCAGGTGCCTGCATAACGCACCTGACAGGTAAAGAAAGAAAGAAAGAAAACACAGCGCTGAGACTGTAGGTGTGTCCTTGACGATGCACCGCATCACTTGGATCGCAGTCCTTGATGCACCCAACCAAGGCGGCGGATTTGCATTCTGCACATGCCTGCTTTCTTCTCTCTACGAAACCTGCGAGTGCGGCAGATAATAGAGAATCCAAAGGCGGCGGCGGCGGCGGCGGCGGCAGGTTGCACACGTCGGCGCATTCCTCATAAATTGATTGGTTGGCTTTGCAGATACCATTGCAGTCTTCCTCCGTCGCCGCCACGGCCGGGCGAAGGACGCACAGGACGGCTGCGACGACGACAACCGCCTTTGAAGCGGCAATACCACCAGCTGAAGCCATGACAGTTAATTAATGGTGGATGCCGTGTGACGTCGTCGTAGACGGAGCTGATGAGCAATCGAAGAAAGAGCAGGTATGGCAGTGCCTGTGGATGGAGAGCAAGTGCTTAGCGCATATATAGGGCAGCGGCCGGGATCGTATGCAGAGTGATTAACGCCCCCACGGATGAAATGAACTATCCCTTCCCAGCATCATATATATATTAATTTGCAGAGAATTATATATTGCAGTGCATCGTGGCTTGCACGACCTCAGGATTCGCTTTCGATATAGATCGGCTACACTAGCTAGCAAACAAGTCAGCCATGATCGATCCGTGAAATTTTCCCAATCAGATGTGCAGAGATGCAGCGCCAGCACGCCATGCGTGAAACAAAAACCAATCATATCTTTGACCTCAAGATATGACAGATCCGCTCGTACACCTGAACGACGAAGCTACCATTTCATTTCTTGATCATATTGATGATGACTACTACTAGTTGGCCGGCCGGCCGGCCGGTCGTATGGATTGGGTACATCGTCATGAACCTGGTCTGACCACCAAGTTGAGTTCGTCTCGCTAGCTCGCCGCCGTGGCGAATTGTTTCAATCGTGCGTGGATGTACTCGAATGATCAGAATGCACAACACAGCAGGATCTCTAGCTAGTAATAACCAACTAATCATCACATCTCTCTGCTTTATTATTCAGGTACAAACATGTCTAGTTGGTAGTTGTTGAGCTGACTGTATGTGTGCGCGCTCCATCTACAGCATATCCAAAGCTGCCATTTGATTTCAAGATCGAGTGCTGCTAGTAAACAAGTTAGTCGTGTGAGATCGTCTCAAATCAGAGTGCATATATATATATGCAGCGCCACCACGTTGTCCATGAAACGAATTATACCGTTGACCGCATGATGATCCACGTGAACGAATATTATATTGCTTCATTTATGATGTGTAATATACCACTAGTAATAATTGTAGAACTAATTGATCGACTACTGTAGGTGTTGGTACAAAGTAGTACAAATCTATCTTGGGCACCTAAGAGCACCCGCAAAGATTACAGTAAACTTGCTCTCTATAAGATCTACTCCCTCCATCCTAATTCTCAAATTATAAGTGATTCTAACTTTTTTGCAGAATCAAATTATAAATCATTTCAACTTTCTTAGAAAGAGCTTGAAACCAAGAAACCTAATGTGTTTCTATATAAGACTGTAGGGGTTTCCAGCTTGTTTAAAGGTTTCATGTGGGCAGTTCAGGCTGCAAAGAGGGGATATAGGTGGAAAACGAGTAATGGTGAGAAAGTTAGACTCTAGGAAGATAATTTGTATGGCTTTTCTAGCCTTGCTATTCAGATTTGGCTTTTATATAGGATTGTTAATGAGAAAGGGAAATCTATAGCTGAGCTCTGGGATGGAAACAATTTAAAGTGTACCTTCAGGAGTCATGTTAGTGAGGAGTTGTTTAAGGGGCCGTTTGGGGTCGCTCCATGGAGCAGATTCTCGAAGAGAATCACTCCCCGGCAGACAAACGCTAAAAAAAGTAGGGAATTCAAGTGAATCACTCCTCTATTTTGTATACAAGTGAGGGAGCTGAAAAAACCTCCTTGTTATATTTTGGTGGGGATCAGCAGAGAATCACCCTGCTCCCTCCTAAAAATCCAGTGGAATCACTCAATCGAAGAATCAAGGAGCGGAGCTGAAGAATCGGGAAGCGGAACTCTCCCAAACGGGCCCTAACTCCTGGCTGGAAGTAGTTGAGCTTGGGTCAACTATTCAGCTGAGTGGTGAAGAAGATGAGATGGTGTGGCATTTTTCTTCTAATGGAGTATATATGCTCTTCATAGTCTTTATATAAGGTTATAAATTTTGGAGGAATTAAGCCGAAACATGTTTATGCTCTTTGGAGTATTTTTTTAGATGAAAGAAGAATTATATTAGATCATAGCTGAGTGCATCATCACATTACAAGCACAATAGAATACACTACGTATATCCAGAACTTGGTCATCTAAATTGTACCCACGCTTTATATAGCCCAAAATCCCAACTCTAAACGTGTATTCTTTACCCCACAACGCAAAAGCCTTAGGTTAGCAGAGAAATCCAAAACCACACAAGGACGATTCGTTGCAAGATAGATGACCGCATAGGACAAACACGTCGCAAATTGAAGTAGGGCAACAAAAAAACAAGGGCAAGCTAACCAAAGGGTGATATGGAAATATTCAAGAACATAGTGCATATTGTTTTTGAATTGGTTCTAACGTACCAACCGTTGCGGATAACATTCCTACAAAGAAGTGGAGAGAAACTTCTTCTTTCTTGTGTCTTCCTTTTTCTTTCTGCCACCGAAGAATAAGAAAGACTGATCTGAAACTTATTCTTCCTAGTCCTTCATTGTGGTCAGATCTAACCACAACAAAACGGGGAAGAGACCGGAAAAATATTCCATGACAAATGACATCATCTCCGCCTTTGATGTCGCCATCCGCTAAAGCCTTTTAAATCTCTATGTCGTCAATTTAAAGTGTACCTTGAGTGAAGTTGTTTAAGGAGCCGATGAGAATCACTCCCGGCCTAAAAAACTCATCTTCAACAAAGCCGCCATGGAAAAATCGAATCCACCCCATACCCCTCCCAAACGCCGGTCAACTATTCAGCTGAGTGGTGAAGAAGATGAGATGGTGTAGCATTTTTCTTCTAATGGAAGAGGAGGAGGAGGAGAAGAATAAATCCCAGTGCATCATCACGTTAAAAAAAAGAATACTTGACATGGAGAGACTCTAATAGCCTAGATGACTCGATCTAATAGAAAACTTATAAAAAGGCGATGGATCCCCACGGCCAACATTCCTCTTCTTCTTTCTTATGTCTTCGGCTTTCCAAGAATAAGAAAGACTGATCTGAAACTTATTCTCCTAGGGGGAAACCACAACAAAACGGAGAAGGGACCAATGGTGGTGGATGATGGCGACATCGGAGGCGGAAAGCCAAGTCTCCATGGCCGATGAAGTTGTTGTGGCGCTCCACCCGCCCCTCGCCGTCGCCAGAGAGAGGAGGAGATAAATCTCCGGTACCAAGAAGCTTGACTCTAACCCTAGATGACTCGCTGTGTGTAAAAACATCGTTGCGTGCTGCATGGACGGATGGGCGCTCTTTGGAGTATTAAGATTCCTGCTAGAGTACATTTCTTTCTCTGGTTACTTGCCAACAATAGAGTTTTAACTAGAGATATTTTACCAAAAAGAAGGAAAGTAGAAAATGCTAGTTGCCTGTTCTATTTAGAAGCTGAATCTGTTCAGCATGTTTTCTTTGAGTGTGTTGTGGCCAAACAATACTGGTGTTTGATCACAGAGATTGTCAATGATAAAGTAGGAGGTAATCTAGTTGAGATATGGAAGTTTTGGCTTAGTGATAAAAGACATGGTTTATTAAATATTATCACTTCTGTTGTTCTCGATCTGTTGCATTTGGAAACTCAGGAATGAGTTGTGTTTTCAGAGCTCTGGCCGGATGAGAAGCATGGAGATGCTACTCTTCAAGGTAGGTGGACTTCTGCAGAATTGGATAGACTTATGCCCTCCAGAAAAGAAAGAGCAGTTGAAGACTATTCTGGAGAGAATCAAGGGTGTGGCAAAAATTGTGCTTTGGCTACCCTGTGCAACTCTGGGCGATACCTTAAGATGCCTCAAGGTGAACCTGAATTTTATCAAGATGAAGAGGCTTTAGTGAAAGAACTGGATGGTGCAAATAAAGTTGGCTTCTTCAAAGGCCTGGTGGTGTTCGCTTAATGCGACTTTTGAGCTGTTGTAGGCTCTGCTCTCCATGGGCACGGAGTGCTGCTGCGGGTGTTGGCCCCTTGATCTTCCGAACGGGTGAGCCAACTACTCATCGACGTTGCCGACTACACACTATGGTTAGAGGTAGAAGAAGGGAGGGAGAACAGAGCATGCACATAGCACAAGCACCAGCGTTGGCCGGAGCTCTGCAGAGGAGATGGCAAAACTGAACTCGCTCTCTTTACTGAGTTGCAGTGGGAAACTATATATACAACTCTACCCATCTAATCCTAGTGCACAGACATGTCAGGCTATCATGCTGCTACAGTGATTAGATGTGACAGCAGGGCTGACTTTGACGTATGCCCCTGCTGTGGCTACAGTGCGGCAGGGGAGCCATTCGGCGCCTGCCCCTGCAGCGGCTATAGTGCAGCAGCAGGGAGCCCTTTCGACGTCTGCCCCCTGTCACGCGTTCACACAGGTGAGCAGCAGATTACTCAACAGCGGGTTCTTCTTGCGCTGGCTTTTTTTTCTGTGTTGTCTTGTTCAGGTGGTGAGGTTAGCGGTTTTCATGTCTATAGTGAGAGATATGTGTTTCTCTTTTCTTTCGCTAAATACCGAGCTGTAATGGATATCCTAGTCTTTTGACAATAGTTGAAAGGCTGGGGCATATGCCCTTGAATTTGAACACTAAAAAAACAAATGCACAATGAAGAAATCCATTATCCATATAATGCATATAGATGATGATGTAGTACAAAAGGAACAATGGTGTGCATTCTTATTCTTATGCATATTCGTGGGAACGCAACACAGAAATTCATCCATATATGTAATTAAAAAAAAGTAAAACATATAGCAATACAAGCAGTGACATACGCACACATTGACACATATATGTGGCACGCACCGCCGTCACGGGCACGGCATACTCTGAGGTTTGAGCAACATGCATGGGTCGTATGTGTATTCAGGGAGAGGAGCAAGTGTCCAGCTCCATTCCTGAAGACGTTCGTGTAATCGTTGCTAACGATTTGTTAGCCGAGTAATGAAATTAGACCCATTTTCAAAAAAAAAAACTCGTGATCCTTGCGCTACCCCAAAGCAAATAAACTAGTTTTTCAGCACGTCGGTGGTGGAATTGATCGAAGTAAACAAGTCAGGAGCACCGACCGAAACCAATGCATGCACCGACGGGGATTGGCCCGACGTGCGCTGGACTTAAA